CAATATGAAGAGGCCTATCACTACACCATCTATCCTTCTAGAAAAGAATTCCCTCACCTAAGCCCAATTTTAAAGAGACCAGATTGAAAAAGAGATCTCTATTTTGCATGATTACCTTCAAAAGATCTGCACCATAAGACTGACTCATTAATCGGGAATGGTTCCCACCCTAAACTAGCTTTCCTATATTAGTCTTTCATCATATTAATTTCTCCACTGAGCATTGGTTTTTGTAGCAAACCTCCACAACCATTTGGGTAGAAGGGCCAAATTTACTTGCTTGAGGGGTTTTACTCCAAAGCTCCCAACATTTTTTGTTTGCACACCTCTGATCACACAACTAAATGGAATTTCTTTCATCATCTTTTCCATTCCATAGGAAGTCTCTTCTAAGTTTCTCAAGAGATTTTAAGACAAAGGCCGGTGCTTGGAAGAGAGACATGTAAATGGGCAAGCTTGAAAGACACTTTGAATAAGAGTTAATTTGCCTCCCTTTGAACGGTAACGAGTATTCCAATCTGCTAGTTTGAACTCTACTTTTTCAATCATCAGATTCCATATCTCTTTAGATTTATAGTGAACACCTAAGGGTAATCCCACAAATTTAGATGAGAGGAATCCCACCCTGCAGCCCAGGACTTTTGCCAATTAATTTATATTTGGAACACTCCCAATATGGATGAATACACTCTTTTGGAGGTTTATCTTTAGTAGGGAAACCTTTACAAACCTTGTATGGGTTTCCCTACCTTTTCCTTCAAACCAAACATAGCCTTAAAGAAAATTAGAAGGAATATCGGATCATGACAACTTGGCCTAGAAAAAAGCAACAAATAATTGAATTGTTGTTCCTTTGAGATAGCCGGCTAAGACAACTCTATCAATCATTGTACTCAAAGCTTCCACCACCAAGATAAACAAGAAAGGTGAAATGAGATAACCCTATATATCAAAGACCCTTCTTAACTGGAAAGAAACCTTCTGGCTTCCTGTTTACTAAAATAGAAATTTTTAGTAAACCCGAAACCTATCCACTTCCTCCATTTCAACCTAAAACTCATTCTCCTTAGAATACTCTATAAAACCCCAATGCATATGGTCATAAGCTTTTTCCATGTGTAATTTGCAGATTACACCTGGAAGATCTTTTCTTAGTATGGAGTTGATGCACTTATTTGCCACCAAAGCCCCATCTAAAATTTGCCTCCTATTTATAAAAGCACCTTGGGAAGGGGAAATTAGAAGGTTAAGCATACCTCTCAATCTATTAGCCAGTACCTTTGAAATGATTTATAGATGTTTCCAATTAGACTTATTGGTTCATAGTCCTTGATTTTAATTTTACCTTTCTTCTTTGGGATTAGGGCTAAGAAAATTGCTTTTGAAGAATCCTCTAGCTCTATATTGGCATAGAAGTTAGAAAACACCTACTTCAAATCCTGCTTTGAGAAAGACCAACACCTATTGTAGAACTTTATAGGTAAGGGTGGATTTGAGACGAGCTGAATACTTGGCTATTCAAGCTCGAGCTCTATTCGAGCTAGAGACTTGAGCTTGAGCTCGGCTTGGTTCAAAGCTTGCAAGTTTGAGCTCGGCTAGGTTCGAGCTCAACTACAAACCAAGTTTTTTTCTAAAAAATAAAAATCATACATATAATAATATATTTTTTTATTTTACAGACAAAAAACTAAGAATTATAAAAGTTATTTATTATTATACATATAAAAATAAAAAATACACATATAAAAATTGTTTTTATTTTACATACAATAAAATAAGGATTATAAAAACTATTTATTATATATATTTATGTATGTATATGTATATATATTATTATATGTATGTATGTATATAAAAAGAGTTATTTATTTATTATACTAGGGTCGATTAGGCACGCGAGCCTCATGAGCCGAGCTTCATTAGGCTCGAGCTTGGGTCAATTAGAAACCAAGCCTATATATCAGGCTTGAACTTGGCTCGAAACTCGGTTTAAACCGAGTTGAGCCAAGCTCAAATAGCTCATGAGAAGCTCGGCCCATGGCGTATAAGATCATTGGTGCCTTATAGAGTTATAGTATCTCATCTTTAGTAAAAGGCCTTTCCAAGTAGTTTCTTTCTAAGTCAGGTAGATGGGGGAGAATTAGCCCATTCAGGGGTTGTCTTCTTATCCTATCTCATCTTCACTGAACCAAGAGCATGTTGAGTTTTTCCTTTGCAAGAAATTTATCACCATGATCATGTTATCACTCATTAATATGTGGATCACCTTATCCAAAAACGTTGGAACAAGGGTGCATGACGTGCAGCTTCAGCTTCCACTGCCTTTACACCAAGAACACAAGTAGGTTCCAGTCTAGCCTCCACGAATCAACGCCCTACTAATTATCAACAACGACCCATGCATGTAGCAAAAGGCAACCCAAAGTGCAAGGAACCATCGCAATAGATTTTAAAGTCCGCCCTAACGGATTTGTTAATAAGGCCACGAAACGATCAATTTGTACGTGGTGGATCTCTCTCCCAATAAGTCCCAATAAGCACATGATGACACAAGCTTCCACTTGTCAAGGAATTGGTCAATCTCACAAATGAAATTAATGGAGATCTAGGATCCTAAACAAGATTTTAGAAGATCACCTCAATTATTTCTGACCATCCATATTTTCCATAGTGTAGTACTGAACCAAACATAGTCTAAATCTCCACCAGGAGGACTGTTCATCATTGCACACCACTTCAGAGATAGAAGTCTGAATCCAGCTACAAACTGTTGAAACTCCTCCTGACCTCAGTGACCTCGAGATATGGCAATGAAATGATCGATTCCATTGCCTGACACCCGAAAGCTAGGGCACATATAATCGTTTTGTAGCCAATAAAGTTTATCTCTGGTCACGATCGATTCTATGGTCTAATAGTTTCGTCCATGAAAATATTTGAATTCTTGGGTACGTAGAGCTTGAGTTTCCAAAAGGTGGCATCCCCATCTAAAGTTAGGTATGCGCGTATATCCTGTTTCTGGCCACTTCTCTCCAACATCCACATCCAAACATCCTCCTCTATTGCATTCCTTGCAATTGGTACATTCATTATATATATATATTTATATTAGCGGGGACTCGTAGGACGTACGGGATTTATTAAGAGAAAGCTAAATAATAGAAAGAGTTATTTATTAAAATACCCTTTATAGTTTCATGGATTTACTAAAATCTACCCTATACTCAAAATTTTACTAAAACACCACTTATAATTTGCAATGGATTTAATCAATTTTTCCATTAGATGACAGTGGAAGATGACAACGTTGACCTTAATGTTCATTTAAATAAATTTAATCAAAAGAAAATAAAAATAAAAATATCATTTTTTCCCTTCATAAGACACGAATAACCACTCTATTGGTTATATTTGGTTAATTTTGTTTTCTGTACAAAAAAAAAGTGTTAAGGGTTTTTTTTGGAACAAAAATCACGGGTCTAATTGCAAAACAAACACTCCTTAATGAAATGTTGATTAAGTAAATAAGTTATAAAATATATTATATTTTTTAATAAAATGAAAACTATAAGATATGTTTAAGTAAATATGTAAAACTATAAGATGTGTTCTAATAAATGACTCTAATAGAATCACATAAGTGTATACAATTGTTTTATATTTTCAAAATTTTAAATAATAAATAATTATTCATATTTTATATACTACTTTAATAATTTTTTTATAATACAAAAATAACAATAGTTAATTTTAATTAGGTTTATTCATCAAACTGATGAAACCGACCAATTCGATCAACTCGACTCGAGTTGGTCGGTTTTCTAGTATTTTAGGTCGGATTTGGTTAAAAAATTTCTCAATTCGACCAAGTTTGATCAATTTCACTTTGGCCATTTATAAACCAACCAAAATTGAATGACCTAACCATGGATATATATTAATATTTTATCTTAGTCTAAAATGTTTTATATCATAAATTTAATTTTTAATAATTGCACTATAATTTTTAAGTTTAAATCTTTTGAACCGACTGACCAAACCAAAAAACGATCCAAATCGATACAACTTGAGTGGGTCGATTTTCACAAAAGGTCAATCGGTTTTAGCTGACCAACTCCCCAACCTGACTAGGTCAATTTGGTTGGCCAAATGCCTACGACCGAACCGAACCAACTCATGAACATTCATAATTTCAACAAAATTAATAGCCTCATCTCTGATAAATAACAATAGTTTAATATCCAATAATTATTGAAAATTTATAACAAAAATACACAATTATTGAAAATATATTGATAATGAAAAAAGTACAATAATTACAAAAATACAATAAATACTAAAAATATATTAACTTAGTCAATAAATAATATAATCTCAAATAATAATTTAATCTCTAATAAATATTATTCAATAAGTTAAACAAAAATACAAACATCCTGCTCTATTGCATTCCTTGCAATTGGCACATTGAGCAATATCACTGCTAAACTCGGGCTATATATATGATCAGGTAGCATTACTTGTGACCAAGCTGGCACAATGATGGAATTTTTGGGTAGAGCTTGAGCCAGAAATTTCTCGTAACAACTTGCATATTGGGCTTTAAAGTGACTGGATCCATTATAGTCTGGCCTAAGGCGTCTCACTCTCACTCAGTAGTCAGTCTGACTAACATCGCCCCCACCCGTGACCCGGCCACCCAGCCATGAACCATGAGCCATGGACCAAACCCTCCCGGAAACATGAATCTGCTACGCGGCATACTGCATGTTCAACCTCTTGAATTGATTACCTGAATCCTGATCTCTCGACTTCTTGACGTAAATACATCGGACGGTTATAGTCATCGGATCACGTCAAATAATTTCGAAAATTTGACGTCAAGATCAACATTACCTTAAGTGGGACCATCTGCGCCTGGGCCCAAGAGAAGCCCATAAGGCGACACCACTTGTCTTGAGTTTGACACATAGACTCGATGGAGGATCTGTCTATAACATAACATCTGTGTAGTGTGAACGGGTGACATAGCAGATGGGCTTCGAGCCTTCAAACACGATCCTTGCTCTCTATTCACTCAGTCCGAGTTGTTTGATGCACGGAGGAACAGAAATCCAAGGAAGAAGAAAGAAAGGGTTTCTGTGAATTTATCCGGTTGAATGACAATTTCAACTGTATTAACGGAACAAATAACCGCTGCTGCATAGAAGAACAAGCAGAACTCAAAATTATAAAATCTTTTAATCCGAGAAAGCGAGGGCTGCTTGCTTATGCAAATGACGGATCCGAGTCTTGAGTTGCAGGAGGCCGGCTGGGAGGAATTGAGAAAAGAGGCCAGAAAGATTGAGGGCGATCTTGACGTCAAGCTCTCTTCCTACGCCAAGCTCGGTGCAAGGTTTACCCAGGGAGGTCTGTCTTCTTTGATCTCTTTCCTTTCTGTTTCTCTCTGTCAGTGTTTCTGTGCATCGTATTTTAGATTCTCTTCAATAGTGAATTTCAACCACTGCTAATGAGCATTTTGAACATGTTTTATGTTAGTAGAGGGATTTGGAAATTGTAGGTTCCAAATGGGAAGATCCATTTTGTGCCCGCGTTGGGCACTTGAACGTAAACTCGTTTTCGTCTTTCAAATGTAATCTGACCGATTTCATATCTGACTATGCATTTTGGGTGAAAACTGCACTGTCTAATCGAGGTGAATCTATCTCGCATTAGTCCTAGTGGTAAATGGCTTACGAGTAACAGAGAGACCATCCATGTGAAGTTGATTTACTGGATATGTGCTAATGTGTGTGGTTTACATGTATTTGCATTACATTGGAAGTTTAATTGGAACCCTCTTATTAGATTCCTCTTTGATGCAGTGGAAATGTGGAATAGTCCACTTGAAGCATCTACAAACTGCAAACCAGTTCAGTGAATTATGAAGTAAATTGTAATCTTTTTTGATAAGTAATGGAGAATTTATTAATATTAAAAGGTTAAATAAGAAGATACAGTAGAGGCTTCCCACATAGAGGTGTGAGATGCAGCCTCAAAACCAAGACAAATTACAATTGAGTCCAAAAAAGCTGATTCTTATGCACCTACTCAATCTTTGAACGGGTCAATCCCTTAAGTCCACCTACTCAATCTTCTTTAACCTTCTCATCTTCTTCCCTCCTACATTCACGCCACAAAGAAGCTTCAATGGCTGTCACCAGCCAAACAGAGTAAAATGCCCCATCCGTAAACATGTCAACCTTCCAGGGGATGTCTTCTGGCCTTACGTTGCTTAGACTGACAGCAACTGAGTGAGGTCTTTCACAAGGAAACCATCCAATAGGCCCAAGATTCAAACAACAACTCTATCTTCCACTTGCAGAATTTTTGAGTTAGACAGGGGACTCCACCTAAACACAGTAATATTATCAGATTCCATTTGAAAACATGCTGCATCAACCCCAACCTCTTACTTACCACTTCCAAGAGCGCCTTACACTTCTTGAAAGGGGTTAACATTATGGTGGATTTCAACTTTAAACCTCTTATCACACCATCTGCGATTCTCCTCCAGTCTCCCAGTGGTTCTTTGGTAACCACTAGTGAGTAATTATCACACCTTGGCTGCATTGATGGTTATCCTATTATCACTTTAAACGTGTCCTACCATCAGTAGCTCTCCCATCTTCTTAAATTGCTGCTGCTGCTCCTTTCCTGCAGATTCTTTGCTAGGCTTCTGAGTTTCCTTTGTTGATTCCACCCTTATTTCTTGCATATCTCCCATCCATAGCATGAAACCTTTCAAAGCACCTAAGATCTCCTTCCAACCAGTCGCCAGGTTTCCTTGTGGGAAACAAACTAGTTGATTTTCCCTTCCTCCAAAATATTCAATGATCACCATAAAGCTTCGCTTAGCATTCCTTCTTCTTTCTACCACATACTTCCTATCATCTTCCTCTGTTGATCCCTTACACTCCGTCTTCCAACTTGCTACGATTGCTTCCTCAACAAAATCCTTAAACCAGGTTATCACATCTTTCCCTACCAGCAATACCATAGCCATTTTTCATCTCTCTAATTTTCAAGGCTCCCTTCCCTTTCTCCCTGAAGCTTTCCAAAAGAAAATGCTTTGCTGATCTTCAAGGCCTTCTCCACATGGGAATCTGCCTGAATTCACCTAATGATTCCATTTTTCCTTGTTCCTCTCTTCCACACTTTAAAAGAATTGCAAAATTTCCCTTGGATTCGCAAAAGATTCATGAACTCTTAACATGCAAATAGAGATTCTACAAGGTATTACTATGCCTTAATAAAAAATGAAAAAAAGGAGAAAAAAGGAAAGGAAAGAAAAGAAATAAGTAGCTTTGTGTAGCCTATGGTTACAAGAGTTTAAAGTTTTCACCTTGTCATGGTTTATTAGGTTAGTGGCATTGCATTGGAGGAAGTTATTGTAATTTATGGATACTACTATTCTTTCACAATTCTAAGTTTCTTCATTCTTCTCTCATTGTGATCCAGTAAGATGATTGTACTAGTGTTTCACATTATACAGATACAGGATCACCTACTCTTGGGTCCAGCAGATCATGGAAGTCTATGGAAATGGAGATTCAGTCTTTGCTTGAAAAGCTACTAGATACAAATGATGCCATGAGCCGTTGTGCTGCATCTGCAGCACCTACTACTTCGGTAACACAGAAGCTAGCAAGGCACAGGGATATACTTCATGAGTTTTCTCAGGTTTTTTTCCTTTTTCTTTTCTTCTCTAATGGTTAGGGTAACTTGGCTATTTCTTCATTATCTATGCAAGCTTTTATTTTGTTGAAAATTGTTTTTTTCCTCCCTCTTATTTTTTTCTTCCTGTATTTTGGGTACTTTGTTTTGGTTATGCATTATGCACTCTCAGTAGATAGCCATATTTTGTTGTTTTAATGCCATGCTTTCCTGAAATAATTACCAATAAGAATTTTCCTCACTTTAGGGGCCATTGCTTGCTCCAATGGTGGAACCCTTGGTTCACAAGCATGAGAATGGGTGGTCGATTCTGAGAGCAGCCACTTCATGCAAGAAAATGCTGAAGGTTAGGTCTGCATCCAGTCCACCCCTCCCAAGACCCTGGAAAACTGGGACCAACATTTTTTTTTTTTTTTTTTGATGAGTGATAACTGGGACCAACATTGGTAATGACACGTGAGTTTCCTCACTTTCTCTGCCTCTTTGACAAGCATGTTGTTTAGATTTTCGCTATATTCTCCAACTTGACATCTTTATTACATGGTTATTTTGATACTTTTCTATAAGATACATGATTGCCTGACTATGAATTTATGCCTAAGTTTAAACCTATAAATTCTAATTTGAGATTGGGAGTTAATCAACTGATGGTGGCTCAGTTAGTAGGATCTCTGACTTGTTGTTTCTGAGACCTGGGATCAAATCCCGCTGCCACCAGGGTTTGGGGGAGGGGGTTAAGGGGATGGAGGTGGGCTACCCACCATTATGTAGCTCCATCAAAAAGAAAATTGATATTGGGAGTTTACTGTGGTGAGTTTATGGAAAAAAAGAAGCAGAGTTGCACACTTTAATGGTTTAACCTAATTAAGTATATTTTTTTTATGGTGCATCATTAGTACCAGAACATTTTGTGGGGAGGGGAGAGTTTGTACTTGCGTTGTCTACACTAGGGGTCAATTCTAGTCCATGTATTTTTGCATCAACATTAGATGAACTGAGAGCTGACAAGGCATTTATGGAGGGAGAGGGATTCCATGACATATGATGTTTTGATGACAATATAGTAACAATTGACAAGACTGTAGGATTATGTAAAATTAAATCTATAACAAGATGCTTCAGAATCAAAAGGTTTTAAAGTGGACTCAGATAGAATATGTTTGGTGTATTGTAAATGAGGGTGAGGGTGCAATTAGAATTGGTGGCCAAGAGATACCTCGAAGTGATGATTTCTGCCACTTCGTTTAGTAGTTCATAACATATGAGAGATCAATGAAGATATTTCTCACAGAATTGGAGTGGGTTGAATGAAGTGTTGAGGTGCACCGGGTGTTGTATGATCATTATCTCCTCAGAGGACCCTTATAGGTTGCTTTCTTTGTGTGTTCTGTTATGTGATGCACCAAGCCCCTGAGAGCAGCCAGCCACTTATTTATCCCTTACCCCTTCTCATCTTCTATTTGGGCTCAGATTGTGGGGTTAGTTGACCTATTTTGGTGTTTCCTCTCACCACTTTTCAGTCTTTGAAGCTGACAACTGAAGAAGCTCAGAGAACTTGGAAAAGTTGAATGGAAAACAAAAATAAGAATACTGATCATTGAATGGAATACAATATATTACACAAATAATTTTACTGTCTACTGTATATGTTTGAAAAGCTTATGTCAAGTATATAAAAAACATATCATGCTTATGGACCCCATTTATTACATATTCTATCAACATTTTGGTTTGGCATGTTGTAGAGTGTCAATTGTCAGGTAAGATTATTGACTTTGACCAAAATATTATGATATTCAACCAACTTTTTGGAATTTTCTAACTTATTTTAAGATTTCTGTTGATAGGGCTCAAACTGAAATATGTCAGCTAACATTTCTGACATGTTTTGACATTTGAAAGTTGAAGCCATTATTTTGTTTTTAATTATTTTTTTGAAGTCGAAACCATTATTGCATTAGCCAAAACCTTAAATAACCAAGAAGAACTCTAACTGATTTGCAATATGAATATAACATTGAGATATTCCCTTCTGCCCCAGTGTAATCAGCATATCCAGTGGGTGGGTTCACCGAAAGCCCAGAGATGCTACTACTGTTGATGTTAAGAAATACTTCTTTGGTTCTAGTTTCTAGCTGGACCTGGATTGCATCTTGAGCTGCAATGATACGACAGTTTAACCTTCCCACTGGAGGCAAGAGATGGGACTCCTACTCTAATTTGTAGGGGCACTCAAGTGCTGATTCTGACTCTAAATAACTAAATCCACTTGACTCCTACGATATCTAGAAGTAGAAGATAACTTAAAGAAAAGAAAAGGTGGCCTAAGGGCTTCTTTTCCTTCCTAGTCTTTTCTGTGTTTGCATAAAGTTTCTACTCAGGGCCAATAGGCAAGAAAACTCTATGAGAGCAGAATTGATAGCACTCCTACATAAGGTTGGGCAGAATAGCAGATAATTATTTATCTCAACACTGATCATAAAAGGGGACTTGAAAGTAGTAGTGGGCTGGATTGAAAATAACATGGGAAATTGGCACTATCAAAGCATCATGAGAAAGACCAAGGAACTGATAAGACACTTTAACATCACATATTCATGGGTGCACAACTCAGAAAATGGATTTGCTGACTATTTGGCTAAAGAGAGATTCAATAGGGATCTGCTTTTCTGGAGAGCTACTTGATGATGTACAAATTGGTAAAGGGCTCACAACTAATTTGTAAGTTGTAAACAGCAATACCACAAAGAATTGGTGGCAGTGGTCACCTCAAGGAGCTGCTTGCAGTTTAAATATATTATTTTTTCTCCATAAGCAATGAAATCTTAAGTTATCGATAAAAAATTAATCCAGTGTTTCCCTAGGAGGCAGCACTGAAAGATAAATATAGTATTCTATTGCCAAAAGGAAGGGGGGAACCCCAATGGTTACAAGAGCAGCCCCCATGAGAAGGGGAGGATGATAGTATATGTTTTCAGTTATTCACATTTTTACATAAATAAAACAAAAAAAAGTAAGCAATCTTATTTATCAAAAGTAGGCAATGGATCATTTGATGTACAATTACATACATGTTATTGTAAAACCAGTGTCTTCTTGAATCAATTTCCTTTATCAGTGGGCAACAGAGCCACACAAATAACTTGAGATTATTTTTATTTCAATACAGGAGATGGAGAAAACAAATTCCAAGTTTTTCCACATTCTCATCTATCTCCCAAGACATAGTTGTGGAAAATCCAGCATAGCTCTAGAAGTTGGTAGAGAGATATATTTTGTCTTTTTTCCTTTTTATCACATTTGATGCATGGGATTCACAGTTTTGTTTACTACAATTCATCAAGGTTTTGATGGTGAATCTAAGGTAAGCAGGACCATTTTAGATTTCTACGAGTTACTCACCAATCATGATGTAGTTTATCCACAACTTGTTTAAGAGGGGTAGGAGGTGGCTAGGGTCTAGTGTACTTTGAAAGCCTGAAGGATTAAGTTAGTGATTCCTTTTTTGTCTAAGTTTTTGTTGTTGTTGTTGAGAAATATAACGGTTGGCTTTGGGATGTGATTCCAAAATGTTCTTCCCACTTCATTGCATCTTCTAATATGATGAATCTTCCTTTTCTAGTTATTCATTATTTAGTTATGCTAGGCTAGCAAAGCTAGGCTTAGATAGTTGCACATGATGGGGAAGGTTTGATCATGTTCTTAGGTGTGTGCTTAGCACATGATACCATATTACCCTTTTTTCACTTATATCACTTAAGTGAGGGTATTCTCATACTTATTCATTTTTTATAGATATTCTCATACTTATTCATTGTTAGTATATATTTTTATCCTCTTGCATTACTTGATAACAATGTACCCATTTCATAGATTATTCCAAAGAAGAAAGATCACGAGAAAGGAACTACTCATTCTGTTAGTAGCAAGGGAAAAGTGGTCAAGGCAAAGGTAAGGAAAGTGGTGTTACCAAAGGTGGCCCTGTGGTGGTAGGTAGTGAGAAGAGAAAGGGGAGGTCTCCTTCACCTGAGAAAGAGAAGGGTCCTATTTGCTACTGTAGCATTTGGATGTAAGAAGAAGGCATCGAAGAAAAAGTGAATGGTAAAGGGGGATGAAGTAGTAATAATAATAACAAATGCCTAGAGATTTAATCCAAAATTTTGACAATTTGAGGAAGATGCCTTATTCAAGGTGGATGAAGTAGTAATAATAATAACAAATGCCTAATGTAAGAGGGTGTGAATATAAGATAGGGAATGAATAATTATGAGGACACCCTGACTTGTGTGATATAAAAAAAGGGGTATTACATGCCAAGCACGTGTGTAAGAACATGAAGTTAATTGCCACCAAATACTTAACAGAATTGTTCCAGGAAATTTGGACTAGAAGACCTTTTCCAACAGATCTTGAGTTTAGGAAGATTTCTGATTCTCAACAAAGAGAGTTGGAAGCCCCTTTTACTGAGGCTGAAATATGGTATATGATCAAGAATGGAAGTAGATAAATCTCCAGGGCCAGATGGTCTTACAAGTCTTTTCTATAAGAAGTGCTGGGAGGTGGTGAAAGAGGATTTAATGAAAGTATTTCAAGACTTCCATCAAAGTGCAGCTCTAGAAAGAAGTCTAAATTCCACTTTCATCTCCTTAATTTCTAAAGTGGAAGGGGCAACTAACATTAAAGATTTTAGGCCCATCAGTTTGTTAAACAGTTTCTATACAATTCTGGCAAAGGTTCTACCAGAAAGATTAGTGCTGAATTCTGTGATTGCAAAGAATCAATTTGCATTCGTGCCAGGAAGGCAGATGTTAGACAGTGTCCTGGTGGCAAATGAACTGATAGACTCAAGGAGAAGGGAGCGTAAAACAGGGCTGATTTGTAAGTTGGATGCCTGGATCTTGAAAAGGCCTACGACCATGTTAACTGGAAACGTTTGGATTTAGTTTTGGAAAAGATGAATTTTGGTCAGAAATGGAGGAACTGGATCAAAGTTTGTGTTTCTTACC